CAGTTCATTTTGTTTTTGTTTTGTCATATTTTTACATATAAGTTTTGTTTTATTTTTATTCACATAAAATCCTGCCAATTCTCCAAACTCATTAATTTTTTTGAACAGTAATGGTAGTTCTTCATTAGGGTTTTCTACTATGAACATGACGTCATCTGCGAATGCTCTGTATTTATATTTGAAGCCTTTATGCGTCAAACCTTTTATTTCTTGATCTTCTTGTATTTTTTGTTCTTCTGTAGAGACTTGCTTCTTTTCCAATTTTAGCACCTTTTTCTTCACCTTTTAAGTATTGGCGTCAACTTCTTTCACTTTCTCAGCTGTTTGCTCCGTGATTTTAAGAGTATCATTCAACTGAAGCTGCTGAGTAGTGATGCTTTGGTTCATCGTTGACAGCTGTTCCTCGAGATTAGTCATCTGGTCCAGCAGGGGGCGCAGGGATTCTGTCAACGTTTTAGCCAACTCTGTGGTTTCTTCCGGACGAGGGCTCCCAGTTACTTTCACTTTTGAAAGTTTTTCTTTCTCAGTCCTCTTCCCCCGCCATCTTTATGGATTGTTTACTTTTCGCAAATTTTGCTAAAGTCTCTGAATATATGCTCAAATGCTCATCCATGCCGTGGTAAGTCTCTCCCAACAGATTTCAGCATTTTTACTTCCTCTCCCTCCTCAAATCTCGCTTTTTTATTCATGCACATGGGAGGGGCCCCTCCCCCGCTCGCTTTATTTTCTAGTCCATGGGGTGGGAGCTTTCTTTTTAAATTGGCAATTACGCTCTAATCCGACTCACAGTTCATATTCAGTCTTGCGACCTCACTGTAGCTCCATTTAAACTGCTCGATCTCCAGTGCTTGTCCCGGTCAGCATCACTAGTTCCATACGAACACACAGCAGGAGGACCGTCGGGACGGAGAAGCGCCTCGATTCCCCAGCATCGCGCTGGCGAAGAGGCCACCTCTCAACAGTCCCATGGCTAGGAGCCTTTCAACCAGGCTCCGGGGGGTAGCGAGACATCGCCCCCCCATCTGCTGGTGCACAGATTTCAACCCCGGGAGATCCAAGAGATGAGTCTGCTCAGCGTGCTACCATAAACCGGAAGTCTGAATACTGGTTAATTGTAGCTTCTCTGGAAAAGGAAATCTGGTCCTTTTTGAGCAAGTTATCCATGGAAAGAACATAGCTTGAAAAAGCAGGCTGCAGTGAGAGGAAGCCATCCCAGGAGATTAATGTCCGCTGCCAAAATTATGCCTTACTGTGAAACAAATGTATAAAACCTTCTGCCCTTCTGTTACATTGTTAGATAGACTGTCTTGTTTTCAAGAATAATGGACTAGTGTTCTTTGAACACAGCAAATTGTAAACACTTATGTAATGAATTGATTTATTTCCCCTTGAAATACTTTCTGCTGAACATCGTTTCAACAATCCACCAAGGACTCCTTGTTCAACAGAACTTCTCTCGGCAAAGCAAGGCAATTGGTCATGTACAGAATTTTTGGCTTTGTGACCTCTTGGGTTGTTTAGATTGCCACAGATTGCTACAGACTCCTTGTTCAACAGAACTTCTCTCAGCAAAGCAAGGCAATTGTTCATGTACAGAATTTTTGGCTTTTTGACCTCTTGGGTTGTTTAGATTGCTACAGATTACTACAGACTCCTTGTTCAGCAGAACGTCTCTCAACAAAGCAAGGCAATTGGTCATGTACAGAATTTTTGGTTTTTTGACCTTTTGGGTTACTTAGATTACTACAGATCTAGTATTGTAATGCTATCAAGATATAAAGAAAACAGATGGAAGGGATGCCTGATTTGAGCTAGAGCTCCCTCATATTTCAATAATAAATACCAATGGTGGTACAAGGCAACAAACACTGCTGGAAACCAACAGGACACTGTATCTTGACTTCACTAGGAGGAAATACAGGAAGGTGTCATTTTGACATCAGTATGAATTTTACTTCCAGTATTCTGGCTGTGATGTAAAGATAGGCATATGCAGCTGGGTACTGGTGATGATTACGGAAAACAAAGAACTGCATACGAACCATTTCATAAATTGCAGTAAGGCCCTAGAAATGCTCACTATGCAGTATTTACAGCTTTGTTCATTCACATTGAACTTGCAGACTTTTCTACTTTTTGTTTTAGGAATCCATATGTATGGAACTAAACTAATGTGGGGTTATGCATACATCTTCTTGCTGAAAACTTGCTGAGTTTTCAGGGGACTCCCACTGAATAATATGAGGCACAGTCCTCTGGAACACAACTGAGACAGCCAAAACCTGATTTTACCCCCAAACAGGGGCAAATGTATCCCCCACATAAATACCTCTGAGTTATACCCCCTTACTTTCTTCCTTAGAAGTAAGTGATGGTTAATCATTCCTCTGGGTGGGGGGAAATAGAGTATTGTGGCTTGAGTATAATATAAACTAGCCTCCATCAACAGGGATCCCATGGGAAGGTGTAATGTCTCATACTGGTTCCTAAAGCATATACTATTTGGTTTACATTCATCTCATATATAATAATGGCAAACATTTTGCCAGTAAACAATTCCTTATTCCTCAAATAAGGTAAGACAGGGGCCCCCAAATGTTTTGAGGCTGCAGGCACTTTTGGAATTTTGAGAGGGGTTGGTGAATGCCACCCCAAAATGGCTCCCACTGGAGGCTCAGCCAAACAAACTACCTCATGCCTTACTTTGTAAAAGAGGCATGGAAGGGGCGTAAAAAGAAATGAAGGGAAACCTGGTAGAAGGAAGGGAAAAGAGAAGGGAGGAATAAAAAGGAAAGTCTGAACGGGGAATAGAACTACAGTCCCCTGACATTCCAGAGGCTGCTGCTTCTGTTGCACACATGCAAAACCCTTTTGTTTGAATGAAGGCAGCCAATAACAAGCCTACCCTACAAAGGCCTCCCACAGATTCTAAAAAGCATGGTTGGGCATCAGGGGAAGTACTGTGGTAGGCACCATGATTCCCATGAGCACCACACTGGGGAACACTGGGGTAGGGAGTCATGTTTACAGTAGTGCGAAAATAAAACATTAGTAATTTGCCTATAGTTTAAAAAAATCTGGACTTTCATTCTCTATTGTGATAGATTTGAATGTTACAGAGCTTGTTGGACAAAGGGTTGTGCGCTTAGGGTGAAATTGGAGGACTGTCACCAGTAACAGAGAACAAAATAAGACTCATAAATTCTGCATTTTATATGGGGGGGGGGGTTGTGCCTAAATGCAGTCTGGCTAGATATCGATAAGCCAAACTTAAAAGATGACCAATAATTAAAATGGGTTCAGAAAGTGCAGTTCTGTTATGTACTTGAATCCTGATACTTACACAGGAGGCTTGAACTAAAGTGCATTTTAAGTGATTTCCTGATAGGCATGCCTCTTTTTCTCCTTCCAGATTGCAAGGACAGTCTAGCTTATTGATTCATGGACTGTCTAGTAAGCACTTCTTTGATAAATGCTTTTCTTGACTTGAAGCATAAGTCTTTCTGAGGTATCACAGGTTTTTTTTAATCCCCTGAAGGGCAAGAATGTCAAAGGAAAAATGGATGCTTGCATGACCTAACTTTTTCTGGACTTAAATACTGCACCAGCAGTAGTTTGATATTCTACTGGAAGCACGTACAACCTACAGTGAACCCCCTGCTCCCTTATGTAACTTGCCAAGGTCAACAGTCTTGTTCTATCTGCAGTTCTGTTCTATCCTTGGTTTCATAACTTTTTCTGGACTTAAATACTGCACCGGCAGTAGTTTGATATTCTACTGGAAGGACTGTACAACCTACAGTGAACCCTCTGCTGTCTTATTTAACTTGCCAAGGTCAACATTCTTGTTCCATCTGCAGTTCTGTTCTATCCTTGGTTTCTTTCATCTTAGTTTGTGAACATAAGAGAAGCCAACGGCCCATCCAGTCCAACACTCTGTCACACAGTGGCCAAAAATACCAGATGTATCAGGAGGTCCACCAGTTTGGGCCAGGACACTAGAAGCCCTCCTACTGTTGCCCCCCCACAAGCACCAAGAATACAGAGCATCACTTGCCCCAGACTGATAGTTCCTATCTACAGCAGCAAAGCCCCTTCAGTTCCTGCCTAATTGAAACCATGTTTTTGTTGTTGCTGTTGCAGATTTGTGGGAACTTAGCTAGACAAAACTGTAGGACTATGGGAAATATCTCTGTGCTCCAAAAGAGATTTCTCCTAGTACTGGTAGCACCATCATTGGGTTGGATCCTATTATCTCTTGGTGTAAGAATCCATGAAGTTTCCATCTCTAACAACGGCCTCTTCCGTCAAAGTTGATTTTCAGGATGGTGGGACTTGGGTGGACTAACAGTTATGTGAGTCTGGGGATCAACTGAGGAAAGGCAGGAAACCACCTCTTCTGCAAGTGCCAGTTCCACTGACGCCAGAGGGCAGTTTCATTCCCTTCAAACATCTCAGTGCAGTCTTCTGGCCCACACAACTATTAGTCCACATAGGTCCTGCAACTCCAGGAATCAAATTTCTGAGGGTCAGAAGGAACTGCTGGGTTTGGGGGGAGACCAATGCAGGAAATATCCACAGCCATCAGCACTTTTTGTTGATGGACTGTAGGATCCAGCCCCATAAGGTCCTAGCAACTGAGCAGCGGGCTCCTTACTCTGGGGCTGGAAATGCACCACCAGTTTAACTGAAAGTACTTATGTTCTGAGCTCTGACCTGGATTGCCCATGTTAGCCCAATGTTGTCAGATCTCAGAAACGAAGCAGGATCAGCCCAGGTTAGTACTTGGGTGGGAAGTCCAGGGTTGGTATGCAGAGGCAGGCAATGGCAAAACCACCTCTGAATGTCTTTTGCCTTGAAAGTCCTCTGGGGTCGCCATACGTTGGCTACAACCTGATGACATTTTCCATGTTCTGCAGTCATTATTTTCTATCACTTTGTTTCCTACTGCTAAGCTACAATGCTTATACTTCTAAGACTGGGGGTTGTGTGAAAACTGTTGATGTAAAAGTACTTAAGTCAACTCAAGAATGAGGTTATAAAGATATTAAATAAATAAATGTAACCCAATTAAGCTTTTTGATTACAGTGTGTATCCATTACAGATAATTGATGTGCAGAAGGTGGTGTCCTAGATGGGGGAGGGGTGTGTGAGAGAAGTGACCTTGAGAGGGAGGTGTATGAAATCAGTACTGTAATGCTGAGAGTTGCTTTGCAGTGTAAGGTCATTTTTCATCTAATGATAGGTACCTGAAGATCCATGTGAAAAGGGTATCTTTTACAGGTCAGGTTGCATTTTAAAATAAAATCAATTCCATCTGAATCGTTTGACATTCAGTATTCAGAAATCAATAAAATGTGAATGAAATAAGCTTTTCTGTGCGTGTGCGCTCATACGGTTCCTGTTGTCCTTTTTAACATGGAATAAACATCCAGAATGGCATTCTGAAGGTAGGAATGTAGGTAAAAGACTCTAAGGGGAAAAAGAACTATGTCACAACCAATGTTCCCTCTAAGCTGTGGAATTTGTGAGCAGAAATTCTACTTTGTGAGCTACTGGCATTAAAGCTGTGAGCGAGCAATTGGGCTCCTGCATAAATTTGTGTGCTCATATGGTTACTGTTGTCCTTTTTAACATGGAATAAATATCCAGAATGGCATTCTGAAGCTAGGAAGGTAGGTAAAAGACTCTAAGGGGAAAAAGGACTATGTCACTACTGGGGTATTTTTGTTTAGCTGTGGGGAGGGACTGGGTGAGAACAGATCCATGGGGTGCTTTGTTGCTGGTGTTTGGTCCCTTCGGAAGTTGCTGTACTATACTGTTGGGAAAAGTTGTATCCCAGATGTACAGGAGATCAAGAGAAAGATGCAGATGTGTGAGATTAGTTTGATTTTGTGCCAAATCCTCCTTATCTTTTCCATTTTCACAGGGGGAGGGGGCAATGCTGCTGGCTTAAGCTGGCCATAAAGCACCTTTTGTCAAGAATGTTTGGATGGTCTAATAATCTTACATGGAAATATGATTTATGTCTCACTCCGAACAGATTCCCTTTTAAAGAAAAGCTAACGTATTAATATTGAAGGGCATAATGGAATCTATCTAAAGATAGATGTGAGACAGGAATATGGTATAGCAGTGGATAAGATATGAACCAGTTCCTGTCCCTGGCTCAGATCTCATCCCAGAAATCATCTGAATGGATGCTTTGAGGCATGCAATTTTCTCTTAGCAAACCTCTAATTTACAGTTCAGATTGTTGTATTATTTCATTTACATTTTGCACTGGATTGATCTCAGGCTCTCCTTGTGTTGGTACAGTTTGGTTTCCTTTGTGCTCTGATGTTTACTGCCTTAAGGTATTTTTTGATTTGTTTCAGCATCTGTTTTACAGGGGTGGCTGTGAGTGTTTGTCACCAGATTTGAAAAATGCCATAGAACAACTACTATCTAGTATTATAAATCCTGCATTTGTTTGGATTACCGTCTGTAAAACTTGCATCATTTAACAAGAGAGAGAGAAGGCATACAAACATCAATTTGGAGTGAACTTAATTTGAGTCAAATTCCAGATAGAATAGATGTAGAACAAAAAGAATACATGTGTGGCTGGAGACCTTTCCATTAGATGCATTGAGTGAATCTTCCATTGGAAAATACAGCAAAAATTATAAATAGTACTATCAAAATATTATGAAATACAAGAGCCACAGACTGTCATTTCTTAGCAAAGCTCAATATTCCTTTATGTTGCAACTTGGGTCGGTGTCATAGCGATCCATTTGAGAATCAACCTGATAGATCACAATCCATCTACAACTGAAAGCAAATACAGAAGATGTTCTTGTGACAAAGTGTTGAACCTAACCAGCTTTTTTGCAGGTGAAACAGTTAATAGGGGTCTTCTTTGGCCACCAAAAAAAGGCAATGCTGAGAATCGTGGAACTGGCATGTACAAAAGCTATATGGAACGGGGATATAGTAGGGAGGGGAATTTGGTAAGGCTGAGTGAAAAGCTGATTGGATTCAACCCATAATTGTTCAAAAGTGAACACTGTCTAACTTATGTCCCCCAGATGCAGTAAGAGGAGTAGCAGTCCGTGGGAAGCAGGCTATCAAAAGGACAGCACTGATATAAATAGGCCCACCTGTTCACCTGCTTGGCTCTGCTGCTGTGCAGTGAAAGCAAAGGTCAGACTTGGGGGGGGGGCTCTACACTGAAGGTGAGTGTTGCGGTTATGGGCTGGGGCATGTGAGCTTTAAGAGACTCCTTTAGACTGGCACTTTGTGTACCATTGACAGGCAACCATATGGGGCATGCTTATTTTTGAGGAAGCCCCCTGGATCTCAGTCAACTGGCTTCCAAGAAAACTGAGACCAGTTCCTGAGAAATTAAGTATCTTAAATAGGACAGAAGAAAAATAATAAGGGGGGTATGCCCTCCCTCCCAATTCAATGTCCAAGCCAAACCCCTGCACCAAGAAACCCAACATAAGGGGAGTGCATTCCTTCCATGACATCAACCCGAGCCCCATGGGGACTTTATTAAGTTGAAGGAAAGAGTTGTATAAGAAGGTACAAAAGAGAGGTTGTGCAAAGAGTGGATGTGAAACACACTGTCATAAGATGTAGTGATGGCCACTATTTTACCTGACTTTAAAGGGGGATTAGATAAATTCATGGAAAGATAGGCCTATCAGTAGCTGTAGCCATACTGACTAAGTAGAACCTGCATGTTCATAGGCAGTAACCTTGATCATTAGAGAAGAAGAAGAAGTAGAGATTGGATTTATACCCCGCCCTTCACTACCCAGAGTCTCAGAGCAGCTTACAAACTCCTTTCCCTTTCCCTCCCCACAACAGACATCCTTTTTTATTTTGGTAACGTTTATTTATTGGTTTTTACAAATACATCACTGTTGATCTACATAAAATCAATACAATGCGAGTCTGTTGTTCTACATAACAGTTTATCCATTTATATACTCGTCTCGGCCATCTTTCCAAAAACATTTCCTCATCCTTGCCTTGTATTAACATACTCAGTTTATCCATTTCAGCTAAATTCAGTATTCTATACGTTAATTCTTCCCTACTGGAAGTCTTTTCTGATTTCCAATATTTTGCTAGTAAAATTCTAGCAGATGTTAATATCAGTATTATTAAGTAGCTATCATGAAACTTTATGTCTACTGGAATTATATTAAGTAAATAGGATTCTGGGTCTAATCTTAAATTCACACTGACAATTTCCAAGATTATTTTCTGAACCTTTTGCCAGAATTTTTGTATTTTGACACACTGCCACCACATATGGAAAAACGTACCCCCATTAACTTTACATTTCCAACACTTATTCACATGGCCAATACCATCTGTAAAACATCTTAAGTATCTATAAGATACTGCCCTCATAAGTTTAATTGTTTTCCAAGTTTTAGCCCACGAATCTATTTCTATGTCCTATATCCTATATCCCTCATCCAAGAAATCATAGAGGGTTTGACTACTTTGTCTAACATGTAGTCCTCTAATAAAAAAATTATATAGTTTCTGAATCAGTTTTTCATGTGAAGGGAGCCAAATCTTATCCAGATCATTTTTGTTGTTTTCAAAACCTTTTATTGCGTCTTTACTGTATCTTGATTTTAGTTGTAAACTTGTAATGATCTCTCTTCTGCATGAGGAAGTTATTTATCTTGGACAGGACAGAAGATAAATAATAAGGGTTTTAAAAGGTAAAGGTTCCCTTGCTTGAAAGCCAGCCGAATCCGACTCTAGGGTTACGGTGCGCTGTCCGAAGATGTTTCCGTGGTCATGTGACCGGCCATGTCCTGCTTCTGAGCTTTTCAAGGGTATCTGTTTGCCAGCTTGTGAAATGGGATGGACTACATGGACCAATGGATTGATCCAACATGGCCTCTATTGTGTGTTCTCTATGGCATGGACTTAATGAGAGAGGCATCAAACATTTGTAATGATTCTGCATGAGGAAGTTATTTATCGTGGACAGGACAGAAGATAAATAATAAGGGCTTACAGCCAGATAAATGTGCTACAGCCTTACAGGAAATACACTATTTTTATAAAACCCTCAAATACTACATAAAACATTTGTTCTGTGATACAAAACAAACCCAAATGTAAGAAGTTAGGGATTGACTCTCCAAATATCTTAACGTTTTGTGAGAGACATTTTCTTCAACAGAAAATGTACACATTGTACATTTGAGCTTGTTGCAACCATTTGCTTGGGGGGGAATGAGATGAGACAAAACAGTCCAAATGTTATAGTTCATTACAGTTTAAAATAATGTGTGTGTCCATTACTTTAGATAAGACTGAAGACAGCAACCACAGCAGAGAGCTAGCAAGATAGTGAGCATTACACACAAGAAAGAAAGAAAGAAAGAAAGAAAGAAAGAGAGGAAGGGAGGAAGGGAGGAAGAGAGGAAGGGAGGAAGAGAGGAAGAGAGGAAGCACTGCAAATGACTAAACAGAGTATAGCCTCATTTTTATCCAAGAACAAAATCATTGAAGAAAGAAATGTTACAGATTTATATAGTCCTGTAAATAGAGATTATGACCATGGCATGAGCATAAACACTTATGCCGCAATCTCTTCTGGCTGAAATACTTCTGATGGTTCAAAATGGTTACAAAGAGCCATGTCAAGTGAGTGTCATGTAGACCAAAGTCAGGGAGGGCCAGTGTGGCATAGTGCTTAGAGTATCAAATTGGGACCTGGATAACTGGTTTAAATCCATGGCCATGGAAGCTCTCTGGGTGATCTTGGGACCATCACAGTTTAACCTACCTCACAAGGTGGTTATTCTGAGGTAGAGAAGGGGAAAGTGAGGTGATAAGCTGCTTTGGGTCCCTATTGAGTAGAAAAGTAAGATACAAAAAACTCCCCAATGTATAAAAACTCATGGCTGGGTGAGTTTCCATGGATAAGGTATACCCCAAATCTGAAAGTGCAAAATTTTTGATATATCAGTTTCATGCCCTGTGGTATGTGACAAAGCAGCAGTACTTTTCCAGAGTTTAAGCATGAAACTCTGAAATATCACAGTAGAGCTCTTTACCATAGAAAATGCAGAATAGCTCTTGACAGATTTTGAAAGTACTCCATTTGCATGATGCATAAAGAAAATGGATGAAAAAATATTCAGGAAGTTTGGTGCTCTCATCAATATGTTCTATTATGTTGCTTATAATAGCAAACCATTAACAGACCCTAAAGAACTAGTTGTACTGCTAAACAGCTCTGATATAGAAATATGTGACTAGTGTGTCAATGATAATGTGATGCAAAGAATTTATCAGGCACAAAGCAACTACAGTGAGGAATGAGCTGCTGTTAGAAGTCAAATAATGTAGCCAACCAAGCTTCCTCCTGGTTCCCCAAACAAGGCAACTACAGGAGAAACTGTTATTTATGCAAGGTATCTCAAGGATAGAAAAGCTAAGAAAGTGTATTTATTTCATGGCACATGGTTCCTTAAAAGCTTTCGATCAAGAAATTTAAAGGCGGTCAGATCTAGATTGGCAAACTCAAAAATGGCTAATTGATGTTACAGCAGATGATGCTGTTGTGGGAGTTGGCTCAGAAAATGGGCTGGTTACAAAAATGAAGGAAAGTGTGGTAGGCTGATGTCTAATGCTCCCTCTAAGCTGTGGAGTCTTGTGAGCAGAAATTCTATTTTGTGAGTGACAGGCACTAAAGTGAGTGAGCAATTTGGCTGCTGCATAAATCAGTCTGCTCTGGAGCCATCCTTCCTGAGCTGAGACAACAATGTGTGAGCCGGAGGCTAAAAAACTGTGAGCTAGCTCACACTAACTCAGCTTAGAGGGAACACTGCTGATGTCCCAGTACCATGCTGTACATAGATTATATTTGGCAGTTTTGAAAAACAGTTGTAAAGATTAATACCTCTTGGAAGTAGATATGTCATTGAGAAAGCTGTATGCATTTTATGGTCACTGACCTGACAGGTGAAGAGAACTGAGCACCATTTGCAAAGCATTAGAAAGTCAGGTTGGTTGCAAGTTAAGGTGGTTGCACTGGAAGCATTAGCAAAGAAATGTTCTGAAGATAGCAGATACTTATGAAGGGACAGGTGCAGATGGAGACCCTGCAAAAAACTTGCTGAAAAAACGAAGTTGCTAAAATCCTCTGTTCCACCAAAGCAATTAATTTCTTCATTGGTTTCCTTGGAAGTTTAAAAACCAGGCTTCTGTGGAGGACCAAATATGGAAATGAAGATTAGGAGACCCTAACTACATACTTTCAAAAGCACATTGTAGAAGTCCTTCAGATATCAGAACTTTTAACAAAAAACAAATCTGAGTGGTATGAATTTAGAGCTTTAGGCCAGGGACATTTATTGAATCCATTTTAAAAGGTTCTAACAAATCAGGAATGCTTTTCTTTGCTGAGGGGCTTTCTGTAGTGGTCGTCTTGCCTATTTCCACAGGACTGAGCCATACAAACATGATAAAAACAAATTCAGAACATGGATGGTTGTGTAGTTTGAAAGAGGCAATGATGATTTCTCTAACTGGATCCTGTCTTGAAGATTTTACAGCACAGAAAATAATAGACTGTTAGCATCTCAGTGCAAAATCTTCAAGGGCTATACCTGAAGGACTATACCAGTTTTGAAAGGCTATACCAGTTTCAGGTGAAAACCCTCAGCTTTCCTAGAGGAAATGCATTTAGAGTGAAGATATTAGGAGAGAAATTGATTTTCCTGTTAGGAAATCTGGGAATTTCCTTTCTGTTGGGGGACTTTCTATGCTTGTAGACACATGTTTTCTGCAGGGGAGGACCATTCCTCCTTGAAGCAGCCATTTTCCAGCTTGCCAGTCTAGACTGCATCTTGCCATTTCTTCATCCAAACCTTTTGAGAAATATTGAAAAATATGCGAAATCATGTACTTTCTCAAGCCTAAATGTGCTGTACTGCTTTAAGAGCATAAAAGTACATTCGTTAGCACACAAAATTGTATTTGGCATATATTAATGTAATGTAATGTAATGTATAAGTGCCTTAGTTTGGTTCAAACAAAACTGCAAATATAACTGTTAATACAACTAATATTAGAAAGAATATTAGAAACTGCTGCATACTGTGTGTTGGATTCTACAGATTTAACTGCTAATAATAGCACCTTCTTCTAGCACAAGGTGCATTGGGGGAAGTTACCT